GAGGGCCAACAACAGGGTTAGGGGCCAAGCCCTTTCCCTGGTATTGCCTCCTGGCACTGGTATTCCGAGATTTACTGCCTCTGAACGTGGAGGTCCCCATTAGTTGCCATGGCTAGTGGCCACCGATAGATCTGTGTGTCTAATCCCTTGGCTCATGGCTATCACTACCTTATCTGGCAGCAATTTCTGCCTCTTAATCACTTGCTGATTAAATCCCCTGTGATTCAGCGCTTCTCTGTGAATTTGATCCATGTAGTTGTGATGACTTCTCTGAGAAGTCATTTACTCTTTCTCTGCCTTCAGATCCCTCTTCAAAACCCACTTCTTCCATAAAGTCATTGAATTTCTCCATTGGTTCCCCTCCCTCCAGCAAACTGAAGCCGAAATCTTTCACGATTTCACAGAAGTCACATTGGAACAACATTGGTTCTAAGTAAGCATGCACAGAACTAGCCTGTGTATCTGCGCACACCTATCACCAGTTGACTTTGTTTCTCTCTGTTTTTTGTCTTTCATTGATCTGGAAATATAACTTGTAAGCTTTACAGAGCAAGGACTTGGTGTTGTACACTCTGCAAAGCACCACGGACACCACTCTTGCATCTATTTCCTTCAAACACATGCCTTCTTCATGCACGGCCGCATTATAAATGGTGATACAATATGGCTGTTTTGGGCAGAAGAAGAAATTGGATTTATACCCTGCCCTTCACTACCCAAAGGAGTCTCAGAGCGGCTTACAAACTTGCTTTCCCTTCCCCTCCACACAACAGACACCCTGTGAGGTGGGTGGGGTTGAGAGAGAGCTCTTTTGAGAACTTCTCCTGAGAGAACAGCTCTGACAGAACTATGGCTTGCCCAAGGTCATCCAGCAGCTGTAAGTGGAGAATCAAACCCGATTCTCCCAGATTAGAGTGGGAACTGGAAAGGGGCACAGAGGGAATGTGTGGTGAGGCAAGTGGCCAGTGAGGACAAAGAATGGGATTGTGGTAGAAGGACTCTGCCTTGGGAAATGTTTTCCCTTTCATTACTGCAGCCTAGCTTTTGCAAATGTCGGAATTGTTATTTGCTTAGTATATTTTTATCCAGCTCCTTCCTTCCAAAGAAGGGCAGTGCACATTGTTCTGTCCCCTCCTTTGTTTTATCATCACAGGAGCCCTGTGAGGTAGGTTAGGCCGCGGGAAGTGGCCGGCCCAGGACCACCCAAAGCACTTCATGGCAGAAGGGAGATTGGAACCTGGATCTCGCAAACTGTAGTCAAACACTACACCACACTGGTGGTAAACCTGTTTCTGGGCAACAGAATCTTTAGATTACAAATGGCAACTCTTTATGACTGAATTCTCCATTCAGAAGAACCCTTTCTACTTGAGAAGCTGGTATGTTGAGGAAAAATTAGGCTAGAACCCTTCTTAACAGGTGGTTTCCAAGGAGGAGGGAATGATTTTGTTTGAACATCAACTCGCCCGGTGTTAGTGGTACAATCCAGAAACAAGTTTATCTCCTACTCTGCAGTTTGAGTCTAGGCTCTAAGATGATATGTATTAAAAAAGCTTTTCACAACTATGGTCAAAAGGTTGTCTTTTTACTATAGAAATGGTGGATCTCTTGATACAGATAGAAATTGGGCCGTTTCAACATAACGTTCTTGTGTCTAATTGAACAAGCTCCTTGTTAGTGGTGAGAGAGAATATTTCTCCCCATCCCAACCTTTCTATGAATACTCTTCTCATCATTTCAACAAACATAGTTATGAATTTTATAGGTGTGCTTAAAAATATCCCCACTTAAGGCACTAAATTAAACGGACATATATTTAGCGATCGGTGACAACATGTTCCAAACCAACTGTTAAAGCTGTGTAATTAAAAATCTAAATTGGGCACTTACATAAATCTGTGGTGAAAAATTTCAGAGGTGTTAAGTATCATATGTGCCTGTTGAAGTCGTTGGGAATTGCAGGTACTTGTCACCTCTGAATATCTGGCTAGTTGCGCTACTTGATGTAGGCCACCGATTTGGAAGCCTTTTCCTTGGAGATGGCTTGAAATGGTAAATAACTTTGTATACGTCAGTCGTACTCACCCGCACACCTTTTAATCTATTATTATCGTATCGTAAACAAATCTCAAGATTTTGGCATGGAGTTTTTCTTCTCGCGACCCTCTTCTAACGTACCAAAAATATGTTGCCAGATCTTGTGTGGGTGGAGAAAAGCTTTTAAAATTTCAAAACCAAATAAAGAAGGGCCTTCTAAGCAATGAAGAACATGATTTCTATGTAGCTCATCTATAGCCTCTCTCCTTGGCTTCTAGGTATGAAGATTCTATAACATTTCCCTTCAAATAGTCACACTTGCGTGTAAGCGGTGCGATTGGGATTGGATCCCAACCAAGTTTAGCTGGATCGGGGCCTTTGTGTTTCCTCTGTCCTGGCAGGTTGCTCCTCTGATGGATATCACCTGCTTCTCTGAGTAGTACGCCTCCTCCCAGGTTGTTTGGTTTCTGTCCCTAAAGCAGAGGGGTCGAACTCATTGTTACGAGGGCCGGATCTGTCATAAAAGTCACTTTGTCGGACTGGAGCATGTGTGCCACAAACATAATGCCAGGTACCGGAGATAATAAACTGTATAAAGCACACCAGCTGGTAAGCTCCCAGGTTGGTGTATCATCACTGCAAGGCCCCGTGAAAAACCCGTACGGGCAGACTGTAGAGCTAGTGGTGCAGCACTGGGCAGACACTCCCACGCGGCTTGACTGCTGCAGACAAGGTTGTTCTGCCATGCTGAAGCCATAATCAGAGTGGCTCCACCCACTTCCCTGAGCAGTCTCCTGTTCACTCCCCTGCACTAGTTGCTCGCGGGCCGCATAAGAGCCCTGGATGGGCTGGTTCTAGCCCCGGGCCTTATGTTTGACACCCCTGCCCTAGAACATTCTCAGCCCAGTCTTGAAGTTGTTCTGCAGGTTCACAGTGAACAAATTTCAGTTGGAAAAATGGAGAGGAGGGTTTGAGTTCAATATTTTTAAATTAATTTAATTTTTTTTAAAAAAATGCAGTAATCTTTGCAACAGTCCTGCGAGGAGGGGTGGGACATGGAGCTTTCCATGTAAAGTGGTGACTTCTACAGCATCCAGCACCCTGTTCAGGATAGGTGTGCTGAGGTAGCCAAGTTTGTACCAGTTTGTCTGTCTGTCTGTCTCTCTCCACAATTGTGTTTGTAGAAAACTACTTTCAGATTACCTAAATAAGCCACATAGTGCCATTTTATATGCCACCATACTTTATTTTATATCGTTTTACTGCTGAAAAATATAGGTAGACAATAAGAAAGTCTTGCATTCCCCCTCTCCCCTCCAAATTCTGGTTTTACAAACAAGATTTCACATCCCCCCCCCCCCCCCCCATGGCTTCAAAAGCTTCAAAAGTGCTAGGAAGTTTTACACTTCTCTCTCCAGTGTTGCCCCCCAACTATTAGTCCCTTTCACTCCTGCCTACGCATAAAGAAAATATAATTGGTATGAATCTACACCTGTGGTCATAATGTTATCTAGGACTACCAGTCAGCCAGTGTTCCCCCTAAGCTGAGGTAGTGGGAGCCAGCTCACAGTTCTTTAGCCTCCGGCTCAAGTATTTTTGCCTTAGCTCAGGAAGCACGGCTCCAGAGCAAACTAATTTATGCAGCAGCCAAATCGTTTGCTCACAACTTTAATGCCACTCGCTCACAAAGTAGAATTTTTGCTCACAAGACTCCACAGCTTAGAGGGAACATTGCAGTCAGCCAGGGTTTTAGTGAAATTGTATTCTGTCATGTGCTCCATATTTGGTCCAAAAAAACAGTGGATTCTGGATTCTGTCGGGTCCCATCCAGAAAAACAGTGTTTTTGAAAATAAAAAATCTGGCAGCCCTAGAGGCATACCCAGACCCAGATGCATATGTGTCTGGATACCATTTTTTAAACACCAGATGCTTGGAACAATCCAGGGAGAGGACTGTTCCTTTCACTCCTGACTCATAACTCTCCCAGTCATACTGGCATCTGGATGACCAGTGTGGGAAACAGGATGCTGGACTGGGTGGACCTTTGGTCTGCTCCAGCTGGCTAGCTCTTTAAGTTGACTATCCTCTGCCTGTACCTGGATAAATGGGGTCCCAACTGTGCATAGCTAAATATAGAAAAACCACAATAGAAAACTTCGCACAGAAGACCCAAGAACCCTTTGGAAGACTGGAAGCCAGGCTGAGGCCTGCCCCCTTGCATTTCTTCCGGGGGCCCCTCCTTCCCTGGCTGGTCCAAAAATTGTATTAATGCAATTAACTTTGGTTTAATTAGCTGTGCCTCCCCCTCGAGGCCCCTCCCCTAGCTACGGGCTGCTGGGAGCTACAGCAGAGTGATTTTTGGCCCACATGGGCAGGCTTATCTACTCTGGTTTGGGAAATTCTTGAAGATTTGGGGTAGACCCTTGGTGTTGGGGAATGCCCTGCAGTCCACCCTCCGAAGCTGCCATTTTCTCCAGGGGGGAACAGATCAATGTCGTCTGGAGATCCAAGCCCCAATGCATGGATAATATTGGAAAGCCCCAATATAGCAACCCGAGAAAGGGCCTTCTTGGTTGTAGCACCTAAACTTTTGAAATGCTCCTCAGGGAAATTCCTCTGTCTCCCTCTAGTGGTGTCATTGGGTGAAGACTTTTTTTGTTCGATTTGACATACCACCCATAATAGTTAATTGCCCCCCCCCCCCAGTATTGTTTGTTATGCATTTTTATTGAGCTATTTTGAAAGTTTTAAATGTTATTGTTAATTGTTCAGATGTTTTAATGTCTTTTATGTCTGCCCCCTTGGGGACCCTGATTGGGTGGAAAGGCAGCACAAAAATGTTTTAAATAAACACATTAAAGGAATCTTGGGGTGGGGGTGGGGTACGTGTCCTCTGTTAATTGGGGTGGAATCTTGCTTGGGATGGCGGGGTGACTGACGGGTCTGCTTCTGCCCTTTCTAGGAGAGAAGCCATACAAATGTTCCTGGGAAGGATGTGACTGGAGATTCGCTCGCTCCGATGAGCTGACCCGCCACTACAGGAAGCACACCGGAGCCAAGCCTTTCCAGTGCGCCGTGTGCAACCGCAGCTTCTCCCGATCTGACCACTTGGCCCTGCACATGAAGAGACATCAGAACTAGGGCCAGCCAGGGACTTCCTCCTCCACGAAGGCTGGGGTGGTATCTATGCAACACCTTCGTAACTCGACTTCGAGTATACGGTTTCAGTTAGGATTTTAGATTTTAAGTATTTTGTGTATGAACTCTTCTTGCTTTTTAAAACAGGAAAGTAAAAAAAACAAACAAAACAAAACTGGAAATGTGTATTTTGTAATATTTATGAGGAAACAGGGGAAGACACTGTGTTGTCATACTTGGGGAAGTGTCCTGCCATTTTAAGGCTGTACAGATTTTGCTGTTCACAAGGCTTCATCTCAGGGCCACCTGCCATTGATGTATATTTTGCAGATATGGACTGGTTAGTGCCGCATGGGTATCCGCAAACAAAAGCCCCTGCTGGGATTGGTTGTACAAAGCATTTGATTTTATATATGGACACTTTGTAAAGCTGTAGTTGGACATGCGTGCAGAAGGCAGAATTTTATCGTTCTTGCAGAGTGTCCAGAGGCTTTCGCATAAGGTGTTATTCCTCTTGTCTGTGGGCATGAAAATGACTGTGAGCACTGCTACACCGCAGACTTAAACTGTTTCAATATTCCAGCCCCCTTCCCCATGGGCACTGTTTGGTGAGTTGGGAGGGGCTGGTGTTCTCTGCCACATCAAACTACAGTTCTGTGATGCGGGGGGCGGGGGCGGGGAGGAGCCTTGGCTCTAAAATTGATATAAGCTTTATCCAAGACTTGCCCTAGCTCATGTCTGCAAAATGTGATATGGGAAGTGTCCCTAAATTTAAGTATTATGTCTCAGATGCTCTGGTTATCTATATATATATATTTTAAGTGTCCTGACCAAAGCACTGTTTCTCTTATATAGACAGTGTTTAGGAAATATAACTTAATTTGAATTTGCAGCCAAACAAATATTTGAGGACAAGCCACAATTTATTTTTAATGTAAGGATTTTACTGGATTTTTTAGTACTTTTATTGTTATATTTTATATTTTTTTCCCTCTCTGGAGATAAAATTCAGAAACAGCCATAGAACAAAATGTTCTGTATGTTGCATGTTTGTTTTGACAAAGATTTTGTAAATATGCAAATCAGCTTTTAGCGTTTTATTACAGGAGAGTTTTTGTTTTGTTTTTTAGAAAATCGGCTGGAAACGTAGCGGTCATTTTACTTTGACAGCTTAATAAGGCACATCTCAAATTCAGTCATTTTAAATACCTCTCTAAATGGTACCACCTTTGCTTCCTTTAGCGAGCTAGCCCTTTAAACACTTTTCTTATCACGCAGGTGTGAGGCACTGAGTATTCAAAACAAGATTCCCCCCCCCCCCAAATATTTAAAAGGACAAAATATTTGCAATATATAAACTGTAGAGCAACTACCGGAAGCTTAAACAACAAGGGTGGGTATAACACAATTTCTTAGTATAAGCTAAGTGGACAATTGCTTTAAAACAAAGGATTGTCAATGGGTTTTTTGAATACTGAAACACTAACCTGGCTCCACGCAAGTATATTCCAATTCCATGTGGACACTGGCTTTGATCCGACCGTGGGAGTATGCAGCCTAGAGGTGTATGGCCCATGCAGATAAGCGACAGTTGCACCAAACAGCCATTGGGCGCAGGAGTAACAGCTGCTTGCATAGTTGTGCAGCTTATTTGGGAGTGCTGCATGCACAATTCCTGGATGAAGCTGGGAAGTCAAGCAAGCAAGTCAAATTGGGAAGTCAAGTATGTGTTTGCAATATCCCACCAACTAGCAATGTGCACGTGCAGAAGTTTGTTTCTATGAATGTATGGTGGTATGCAGCATTGCAGAGGGCAAGCAATACTGTTTTTTTTTGGGGGGGGGAGTCTTCTAATAAGGTGGTTGTGCAAACGCATTATAACACCGGGAGGGAAGGTCCTCTGCTCAAGAGGTCATCCAAGACCAGCAAGCCAATTTCTGCACACCCTTTGGAAGGCTGAGTTCAGACATCACACAAAACCGTCACAACTATGGTTCGCTTGTGGAACCAGATGATCACTCCAGTCCTGGTTTGCCTCAACAAATGCTGAGGTGCTATTGACTTATTTCTGTAGTTTCGGGAGGATGATAGTTAAGACTGAATGTGGTTCAGAAACCAAGTTCAGATCCTGGTTTCTGAACTTGTTTTGATGGGCCTTAACTAACCACAGTTAGTGGAATGGCCTTGGCGTTCGGTCACACTGATTGCAGTTAATTCAATTAAATCCAGATTTCTGTGCAGTGTCTGACCCGAGCCAAGTTCTTGCCCGTTCTTGTTGAGCCTTCATCTGCCCTCCTCTTTCAGTCCTCTTCTCTTGAAACCGGTAGGAAGGCAGTGCCATTTTGATTGCCGCTGCCTCTGTATATATTGTAAACCACATTACAGCAGAAACATCCATCTTCATGGCCCCATGTTACATAGACAACACTAAGGGAAGACAGACACACCACAATGGCCAAGGGTGGTGGTTGTTGTTGTTCAGTCGCACAGTCGAGTCCGACTCTCCGCGACCCCATGGACCAGATCACGCCAGGCCTTCCTGTCTTCCGCCGTCCTCTGAGGTTGGCTCAATTTCATGTTCGTTGCATCTATGACACTGTCTAACCATCTCATCCTTAGGCAAAGGGAGTAAACCTCAACATTCTGCCGCATTTTAAAAAAAATTTTAGGGACCGAATAACAATGTCCAGTATGACACTGTCTAACCATCTCATCCTTAGGCAAAGGGAGTAAACCTCAACATTCTGCCGCATTTTATTTTTAATTTTAGGGACCGAATAACAATGTCCAGTGTTTATTTTTATGAGGGCAGTATAATTCCATTTTTATTCCCATCTTAGTTGTGGTTGCTTAAACCATAAATCCAGTAGCATGGTTTTGGACAGTGTTTATATATCAGAAATTCCTCTAGGCTACGGTCAAGTTCAGATGCAAGAATTGGAACGCCTGCAGGGAAGTGGTACAGAGTAGTGAATGGGATAGTTCCCCTCTTATTCTTTAGAAAATAAGCTACATGGCAGAGCAATGGAGAAAAAAGAGTATGATCCAGTTAAAGATAGCTTAAGTACATGCTTAACGCTTTCTGACTGAAACCAGTAGGTTCTAAAGATGCTTGACTCTACCACTGGCATCAGTAAGACATAAATATGTCTTTGCCTGGGTTATACTTAATTTTCTGTATTTAGGACATGGTTGACACAGATCTTTGTATGAGTTCCTAATCTGCCACCTCGCACTTTTCATGCCCATCAGACTTTCTTGAGGAAAGCTACGCTGAGATCTCTTACGGAAATTCCAGGAAAGCCGAAATGTTCTCCCAGAGGCGTTTCTGGTTCTCTTGCTTCAATGTCAAATGCATATTTGCTCATTCTTTAAATATAGTCTCTTTGACTAGTATGGATGGTGACTGGGGGTTCTAGACAAACGCAAGACACTCTTTTGAAAACCAGAGCTCTGGGTTCAAATAATAGAATGGGCTGTGCTATTCTATTGAAAACACATTGTTGAAATGTACTGGGAATATCTACATTCAGTTCCATAGATTTTTCCAGTAGGAAGTAGTTTGAAGTTCATTGCTAAGCCTTATGTATATAGGCATGTGGTGAAGGTATAGCATTGACATGCTTGGCACCATTCAAGCCAGCGACACTTAAAATTGGCTGGTGTTCCGAGGACCTTCGCTTAAGTTCAGTTGGAGTAAACCTCTTTATCCCATATCAAGGTCCCCGTATCGAGTCAACGAGTTGCTACCATGCATTCAAGTGTTATCAAAGAATCTTTTTTCTGCATTGATTTGTCTTACGAAGAACCTCTGTGTGTCAGCCACAGGGTCAGGGCTGTTTAGTCCCTTGGTTACCCAGCACAAAACGCTCAGAGTTTTTCTGTGTAAACTGAATTGAAATAATTGGGAGCAGGAAGCAATTGCTCTCCAGGCTGGTTTGGCCAGGGATCCCGGAAAGTGGTGGTTTTTTACCCTCTTCTGGGCCATGGGGGGGGGGGGGGTATTTGTGAATTTCCTGCATTGCGCAGGGGGTTGGACTAGATGACCCTGGAAGTCCCTTCCAACTCTATGATTCTAAGAGTTTCAAGAATTTAGCTATTTCCAGCTGAACCTAAATTACCCATTGCCCGGTGGGAACTTCGTATATAATATTTGACTCCCAAGAGCAGATGAAGAGTTTAAAACTCGGGGCTTCATTTGTAGAAATTGGTTAGATGATCTTCTCTAGTGATCCTCGACATGGTGCTTATAGGCCTATGATACTCACCAGTAGGTTTCCTTCTGCCCATTTGGTTCTTCCCCAGAGCAAACGATCAATCCTGGCTTTTGTCCACTTTGGAAGAGGAGATGCTTAAAGAAAGAGGGTGGGGCAGCTGCCTCCATCATAGGGTAGCACTTGGTTTGGAAACTCCCACTAGTTTGTGATTGGCTGCAGTACCGAGTGGCAGCCATTTTGTGGAGGCGCCCCATACTCAGAATTCCAAAAGTGCACAAGGAGATTGTGAGCCCCAGAGATATGGTGTGATTTAAATCATGCAGGTTTAAGCCATGATCCAAGGAGGTACTCTGCTTGTGCGACAGGGTTTCTTGTTCCCCGGTTAACGAGTCGTTCTGGAAACCGATGACAGAACCGCAGTGTTGTGGCTTTTCACTTGTTTCGGCTTGTCCCAAGGCTCTACCCAGTCCGTGACTCAGCATAGGTAGGTCTCTCCTGAGCGTGCCCCAGGGGTCAAGTGGTCACCGGTCTGATTCGTAATGCTACCCAAAGAGCTAATGCTGTCAAAAAAAAAAAAAAAAGGAACAAGGCCTGGTGTGTGCTGGAAAGCCCTCACAAAGTGCTTACAGGGCATCTCTGTGCTGCAGGCCATTGGTTTGAATTCAGTGACGCGCAAGTGGGAATGCAAATCGATTTGAGACACAGTTCCAGTTGCGCAAGCTCTGGTGCAACGTTTTCCTTCTTTTGTATCACAGTGCCCAGAAATTGGTTGTAGAAATCCTTGTGCAAGAGGAAATGCAAGTTCGTGCTGTTTTTTTCCTTGCGTTTCCAGTGGTGCAAGAGCTTTAGCGCCAAGTGGAAATTTTTTTGCAGGATCCAACCCATTGAGTCGTAAGACCGGGATGTCAACCAAAGGGTAGTGCTGCAGTACCTGACATGCCAAAAGAAAAAAGGAAAAGGCCTCAAAAGCAAAACTTTGTTCGGATTATTGTTTTTGTGTCTCTTATTTATTTTTTTGTGGTATATGGTAGTCAATTTTTTTAGAAAAAAACATTTTTTTCCATAAACTTGATAAATTAAAGTTGTTATAGCTTTTTTTTTTTTAAGGAAAAAAAAGCACTGTTCTTAACTGTAAATACACGATGGGGAGATTAAAAAAAAGATGTACATATTTTTTTTTGTAAGGCTTCAAATGTTTAATCATGGGGGGGGGGACCCCGCAGCATATATTGGTTGGTGTTTTTGCTGCTTTCCCTCCCCCCTTCTCCCCCCGTTCCCTGGTCCTTTATTTTTTTATGGTGGTACATCCTATGCAAATTATCAAGCAGACAGCTATATCTTTGTTGAAAGAGAATGAAATGGTTTATATATAAATATATATATATATAAAAATACTTTTTCTTTTGGAAAATAAAACAAAAGTGCCTAAATTTGGTGTTCTTTGTGTTGAGATGTGTATGACTTCATAGCAAACACGTTACAGGAACGGATGTGACATCACGCTGTGGTGTCACGTGACACATTGAAGTCACATTACAGGAAGAGGAGGTGCCCTGCCTGTGCTAAAAACCACCACGCCCAGTGATCTCGCCTTCATCTTCCTGCTGGGGAGATAAGGAGGCACAGCACCTGTCCTGCACATTGGAAGAAGAAGAGATTGCATTTATACCCTGCCCTTCAGTACCCGAAGGAGTCTCTCAGAGCAACTTACAA